ATTTATCCACGAATATATATACTACTAGCAACACCAATATCAAAATCCCTCTTGAGCAACCGCCTCCCCCCCCCCCTTCCGAAGCGAGAACTGCACCCCGGACCCGCGCCCCCCGCCGGCCGACCTCCGACCCGGCGCTTTCCCTTGCGAGGAGGGACTCGCTCCGCCTGCTTTCCTCCACAAAAATCCTCATTCTTTTCCTATTCTCCGTCCTCGCGCAAACAGTTACGTATCCTCCAGTGCGCTCCTGGATTCTTTTATGAAAATGTTAGTAAAACATTACGAATGGTAAACACTACGGTATATATAGCTGTGGCGACGCAGGCTTGACTCCTCCCTGGTCCTAGGGGTGTGGTGAGGGTGGGGGGGCTCCCTCGATCCCTCGCCTGAAACCACTCAGAGGGAACGAGTCGCTTGCAGTTACATTGCAAAAGGTAAAGGGTGGTTAAGAAATTAAGTGGCTATGAGAGGATTATAAGGTTTATTATGAAATCCGGATTGAAGGGGTTAATCGAGACGAGGAGAGGGAGGAAGGTTTCCAGGGGGCAACTCTCTGACGCCTCAGCTGTTAGCGGTAACCCACAGTTCTGTCGCATCACGTTTAGCTTCTCAGGTTTCTCTTCACGAGGATACGACGTATATCTGCCCCACAATGAGAATGGTGATGAATATGCCACTGCTGATGGTGTGACTATAGTGTCACTGCTTTGAAGACGCCTGCATGCCGTTGACAATGCTGATTCTGCTAATCTCAATATTGCCGCCGCCTCTTCTGCCGGTTTTACACTGTTATACTGTCAATAAGATGATAATAATGACAGTGTTGCTAAGAATAATTGTAAAGATGTCAGAAATAAGGGTAATTTAACAAAAATAATGATAATGATGATGATAATGTGATGATGATGATGATGATAAATAATTGATGATGGATGGTGATGATGATCGATGATAATAATTGATGATAATAATGACAAAAAATAAATTTAATAATAATGATGATAAACATGACGTTGATCACATTGTCAACCAATAGATAGGAATAGGAACAGTAACGATGATGAGCATAATAACGACGACGATGAGTGGGATAATAACAGCGTCACCAGCATTACTGATAACAGTCCCCCCCACCCCCACGGCCTGGGGACGGCGTAAGCGCACTCGGCGGAGGAAGTCAAACTAGCTTCAGTTTGGGCGTCAACCTCGTCCTGAGTAAATTATGGGCGCGAGGCAAGATGGAGTTGGGAAGCGCACTTGAGGAGAAACCGGAGGGAGAAGAGAGGATGGAGGAGGAAGCGGAACAGGAGAGGAAATAGGAGCAAAGGAGTAGGGGAAGGGAAAGAGGAGGAGGATAGGGGCAAATCGGGAATAAAGCTGAGACGAGAATGTGACAAATTTATGAAACATAAATAATGAGACAGTAACAGAGGAAAGAGAGAGAAGAGAAGGGGAGGAGAGACGGAGACAGGTAGAGGGAGAAGGGAGAGACTAAGACAAGTAGAGGTAGAGAGGAAACGAAACAAGTAGAAGAAAGAGGAGAGACGAAAACAATAGAGTAGAGAGACGAAGACAGAGATGTAGAGAGACGAGACAAGTAGAGGAGAGAGAGGACGCAGAGAGGCGAGAAAGAAAGACCTATTTTCTAATTAGCGCAGTCATTCAACCCCCCCCTCCTCCTCCCTTCCATTCGGCCCTCTTCAAGAAAACGTCCGAGTTGCCACACCCTCGCGGACACTCCTGAGCAGCCAGGCGTGTTTGGAGTGTGAGGTTCGTCTCTTCGCGCTGATGCAAGCGCTCCACGTGTGGTGTGTGATGTGGTGTTTGGTTGTGTGTATGTGTGTGTTTGTGTGTCTGTGTGATTGTGTGTGTTTGTTGTGTGTTGTCTGTTGTTTGTTGTTATGTTGTTGTTGTGTGTGTGTATGTGTTGTGGTGTTGTCTGTTGTGAAGCTGTGTGTATGTGTTGTGTGTTTTGTTGTTGTATGTGTGTGTGTGTGTTGTATGTTGTGTGTGTGTTCTGTGTTGGTGGTGTGTGTGTGTGTTTGTTGTGTGTTTGTGCTGTGTTGTGTGTGTGTGTGTGTGTGAGGTTGTGTTATGTGTGGTTGTTTGGTTGCGTATGTGTGTGTTTGTGGTGTTGTGTGTGTGTTGTGTTTGGTTTTTGTATGTGGTGTTGTGTTTGTTTGTTGTGTGTATTGTGTTGTTTTTGTGTGTGTGTTGTGTGTATGTGTGTGTTTGTTGTGTGTTTTGTTGTGTGTATGGTGTTGTTTGTGTTGTGCGTGTTTTGTGTGTGTATGTGTGTGTTTGTGTTGTGTTGGTTGGTGTTTTGTATTGTTTGTTGTGGTTTGTGGTTTGTGTGTTTGTTGTGTATGTGTTGTTGGTTTGTTTTGGTTTGTTGTGGTTTGGTGTATTTGTTTTTGTTTTTTGTGTGTTGTGTGGTTTTTGGTTTTGGTTTTGGGGTTTATGTGGGTTTTTTTGGTTGGGGGGGTTTTTTGGGTTTTTT